TTTTTTTTTTTTTTTTTTTTGCGGTACCAGGGATTGAACTCAGGACCTTGTGCTTGTAAGGTTCGCACTTTGCTACTGAGTTAAATCCCCAGCCCTGTCCTTTTCTTCATTAAGTACAAGGAGCCAACAAACCAGTAGGAGTAGGTTCTCTGTGATGGCATGGTTAGTTGTGTTTAGGAGGTTAGGAAGGTCTGGGGATGGAAGGGACAGTGCCAGGCAGACCAGGGTGGGGGACATTCCAGGAGAAGCAGGAACTACAGCGGCATTCGGGAGCCCATGGCTTGCCCGGAGCATGGGGTAAAGATGGTGCCACGCAGAGGGGACAGCTTCTGCCTGAGTTGACCTGGCCAGTTGTTGGTGATGTAAACAATCCCCTCCACAACTGAGAGCTCAAGTTTCAGTTTGTACGTCCAGGAGTATAGTATTGCATTAAAAAAAAATCTTGTGGGGAAACATTTTAGATTCACCTAAAGTTGCAGAATTAGCCCAGAGGATTCCCATGTACTCCCAACTCCCCCAAGCGGTACTGTCTCACAGAATAACCGGAGTCCAGTGATCAAAACCGGGAACTCAGCCGGGCCTGGTGGCACATGCCTGTAACCCCAGCACTCACTATAAATCTGAGGCCAGCCTGGGCTACATAGTAAGTTCAAGGCCAGGCTGGACTCCATAGTGAGACCCTGCCTCAAAAAGTAAAACCAAACCAAACCGGGAATTTAAATTTGGCATGGTATCAATTTTAAGCCAGTAAGCTAATGTTGATTAAGATAAAAACTTGATTCGTATTTTGCCAGTTTCTCTGCACATTCCTCTTTCTTCTTGGTGAGTAGGCCTGTGAAGTTTGAACACATGCACGTTTGGCATTGTGCATTATTTTTCTCGGTACCCTGGATGGAACTCAGGACCTTGTGCTTTCAAGGCAGGTGCAGTGCCACTGAGCTCAACCCCTGGCTTTAGCATTGTGCATTTTTAAGGAAGGGAGTAAAACAACTCTCTGTGCTTTTAGAAGGAAGATAATCCTAGCCACAGAGGGAGGGGGGAACCGAAGTGGCTAAGTCTGTGGTTCAGTGGAGATGGATGGCCGGTGGATTGGGGTGCAGAGAACAGGGAACAGATTCTGTGCTTTTGGGTTCAGCAAGAGGGCAGAGTTGCCAGGCTGCAGGATCAGGAGCCACTTCCTGCCCTTGTTCTGAACTCTGAACTCATCGCTGGCCTAGGGCCTGTGGTGCAGCCATGTTATTAACTCAGCTCTAGGCTGACTGAATTTAAGGGCTGAGAGGGGCGATGCAGGCTGCTGTGACAGTGCATCCGGGAGGCCCCTGGAAGAGGTGACACTGGCACTGAGATCCAAGAAAGACTGCTCACGGCTGTGTCCAGCGCGGCGTACGCTGGGAGTGCGCAGAGGGTGCAGGTTCCCAGGTCCTACTCCCACCCCTGATCTAGAGCCGGCCCAGCACTGTGTACCTCACAAGGCCACCAGGTCATCCTCGGGGATACTCAGCTCTGAGAGCCCCTGATATTTAGGATGAGGAGGCACTCAGGAGCCAGAGAAGGAGAGGGAGAGGGGTCCAGGAGGAGGAGGAGACCACATAGAAAAAGAGAAGCATCTGTGTAGGGAGGAGCACGTCTGAGAGTCAGAAAGGCCAGTGTGCAGAGGCTCAGGGGCCCAGAGCAGGAGGAGACGGAGAAATAGAGGCTGAGGCTGCACCCACAGAAGCAGCAGGGCCTTGGGTGATCTGCATTTTGAAAATGAGCACCCTGGCTATTGTGAGGAAGAAAGGGGGGCTGGTGGTGATGGTGTGTATGTGTGTGTGTGTGTGTGTGTGTGTGTGTGTGTGTGTGTGTAGGGTGGAAAGTGGGACAGGGAGCACCCTCATGTGGTGCACACACACACACACACACACCCAGCCTTGCAATTGGTGTGATGCATGTGCAGTACGCGCTTCGCAGAAGCACAGACAGCTGTACTCCTCCAGGACCGTGCAAACCACCCAAAGGCCTTGTGGGACCTTTGGGCCTGCCTGGCCGTACTAACCCCAGCGTGCTCTTATTTTGCAGAACTCTCCAATTCCAAAATATTTTATCGTGAAGAAAAATGAAACGAAACAGTACCAAAGGCAACAGCACCAAGTCGGGCAGCACCAAAGCCAGGTGAGTTGCTTTGGGTCCCCAGCGCCGGTGTCACCCCTGTGGCTCTGAGTATGGTGAGGCCACCTCTCTGTGCACAGCTGCAGGGCTCGAGGGAAAGTTGGTAGCGGCCCAGTCCCCACTTCCTGTCCCAGTTGTTCATGCAACAAGCATTTACTAAAGGTTGATGTTTGGGCCCAAATGTTCTAGGGCCCTCCTGGTAATCATTCCAATTCCGGGATTCCTGCAGCCGGTCCCCACTTTGTCCTCTAGGTGGCAGCAGCCTCTAGACTTTGAGTCCCTTGGCAGGAGCCGGGAACCCTTGAAACTTTCCTCCGGTGGATCCGGATGGGGACTCTTGGACCTGGGTGACTATAAATAGGATGTGAGAACCACTCCTTGTCGCTCACAGGGGCTTTAATGGTCTCCAGCGCTTCTATTTTAGAAGGCGGCGAGCACAACAGTCTGGGAACAGCGTCCACCGCCTGTCAGCGGACTCTGGGTCAGGGTTTCTGACGGGACCAGGTTGCCCCGTTTCCGTCTTACCTGTGTGGTGGGGACACTGAGGTTCCCAGGCAGCTCCTGAAAGGACATTTCTGTGTCCCTGGTGGAGAAAGCATATTACAAACAAAACGACGGAGTCTTTCTGTATAGGGTCTGTTTTCCGGGGCAGAAGGCGTTCACACAGATGTAAGAAGCACACGTATTCCATTCCATTCCCAAGACAAATTATTTTCTTTTATTTTTTCGAGGATTGACGGTTTGCGGGCACACAGCCATGGGGCCTGCGCCCGTAACATCCAGGGCCTAAGGGGGACACGGGTGTGAGAGACTCCCTGACACCAGGCGCCGGTCCCCAGCAGAGGCTGGGGGAAAGAGTGGTGGCAGATGCGGGGACTTCTACCCTGGGGAAGGGTGAACTCGGGCCAGATGCAGAGGATGTGGGGTGTGTGAGCGTGTGCGGCGTTTGCAGTGAGCCTGGTGAGCATCTGCAGGGCGTGCTTACGGGGTGTGTGTGTGTGTGTGTGTGTGTGTGTGTGTGGTGAATAGATGGCAGTGTGTGTGCTACCCGTGGTGAGGACCCGGAGTGTGGTGTGTGTGTCCGGAGAAGCGTGCTCTCTGGCTGGAAGACTGTGGAATCCTCCTGTGCTCAGCGCTTTGGGGCTCCAGGTCTGTGCTGGCCGCTCTGGGCTGCGCTTGCATGGCTGGGTACATGGAGTTACTGCCTGGTGCATGACTTGGGTTTTTGTTTTGGTACCGGGGATCGAACTCGGGACCTTGCACTGGTGAGGCAGGCGGCGGCGCCACTGAGCTACATCCTCGGCCCAGTGCCTCGTTCTTATTCCCCGCGTAGAGGAGGACTGACAAGTCGTGGGGAGCGGTGTGGGGGAGTCCCTCTCCAGGGAGGTGGCCTTGTGCCCGGAGGCTAAGACCTGCTGGTGACAGCCAGGGGCACCATGGGGCGGGAGCCGGGTCACGAGCTGGCTGTGATGCCCTCCTGAAGAACTTTGGGACAAAGAGGACCAGTGTCTCCACCATCCAGGGGAGACCTTTTGCTGTGTCTTCTGAATATATGTCCACGTGTGACAGCACATATTTATATTGTTGTAGTTATGCATCCCTACCAGTGAGTCTCTCAGTGTCTCTGTCTGTCTGTCTCTCTCTCTATCTCTCTCTTTCTCTCTGTCTGCGTTCATACTGAGCTACATGCCCCGCTGATTTTTATGTGCTTTTTCTTAAAATACAGTTTCTTTAAGTCACTAAGGCTGAGGCCCAAACTTGTGATCCTCCTGCCTCAGCCTCCTGAGCACTGGGATTAGAGGGGTGTACCACCACGTCCAGGTCCTTTGCTTCTTTACCTTGTCCTCATGTTTCTACATGTTCTTACAATCGCCCTTTGTAATCCGCTGAGCTGTGTTCACTTTGAGAGGTGTGCTATATTTGGTGTTGGTTGAGGTTCCCGTTTGAGGTGTGTCTTGTGGTGTGTGGACAGACCAGGAAGCTGGGCAGAGAGAGAAGCCATCTGTAAGCTGAGGTTTGGGAGGAAGGAGGGAGGCTGGACAGGAATCCAGGACCCCGGGGAGGAAGGTGATGATTCAGGCCAGAGGGGCGGCCGGCTCGGAGGCTGGTCAGTTATCACCGCGCTGTTTCTGCTACGCTGAATTTGGGTGATGGCCTGAATCATTTCCCCCGTACCTTATCATTTGGAGACTACTTGCAAATCAACTTGCGATCTCCTAATTCCTACGTTTAGCTCCGTGCACCAGAGGCTGCCATGTGTCTGAGATATTAAGCTGGATATGAGGCTAATCAGGGCTTCTGTGCACCCTGGGATCTTAATGATTCACGTAGATGCCTCGCTGCTAATTTCCTGCCTGTTCTTCTGAGTAGGTTGTGGGGTTAAGAGACTGTTTTGCAAACTCCAGGTTATGGTTCTTGTGGATTGGAACCTAGATTTTCTTGTTTCCCTATCAAATATACATGGTCTTCATTGTTCCACCCTGTATATAAAAGAAAGCACACAGGTCACTCACACGCATGTGTATGAAAGCACGCACACACGCACACACACAAACACACGCACACACACACACACATGCTGGCACAACGGGAGAGTTTGGCTTTGGTCTCGCTTGGCTTTTCTTTTCTGGAGTTTAGTTTCCCTACCTCTAAAAAGAAGGATAAGAGCTTGTGGCTCACAAGGTTGTCAAGGTGATAGTTTAAGTAGAGTAACACCCAATAGGGGCTTGGCTGTTGCTAGCTGAATCTAATAGAATCGTCTGCCTGTAATATTTGATGGTGTTTCACTTCAGTTTTTTTTCGCATTTGGAACATCTTCTTTTTAATTTTTAATACTCCGTGTTTGCAGTGCATAATGATTACGTTCATGGTGGGGAGCCGGTGCATGTATGTGACACGGCTTATTGCTTGTCACGTTCCTTTTCCCTTCCACTTCTTCCATCCCCTGCTCTCTTTCCCTTTAGGAAGATATCTATCTCCCTGTTTCCTGTTACCTTTTATTTTTCTCTTTAATTTACTTATACTTCAGGTTTCTTTTTGTTTTTTGGTACTGGGGATCAAACTGAGGAACCTTGCGCTTGTGAGGCAGACGGTGGCGCCACAGAGCTACATCCCCGGCCCCGTCAGGTTTCTCACATAAGATGTGACACCGTGTAATATTTAAGCCTGTGAGTCTGATTTACTTCACTTAACATTACGCTTTCATGGGGCATCCGTTTACCTACACATGAGTCAAGTTTATCCTTTTTTATGGCAGAATAGTATTCCACGGTGTGTAAATACCACATTTTCCTTGTTCACTCATCTGTGGATGGACATACGAGCCACTTCCAAGATTTATCTATTGAGAATTTTGCTGCTATAAACATGGGTATTGCATGGATCACTGTAACATGATGTCTTTAACTCTTTTGAGACGATACCTAGGCATGGAATAGCTGGGTCACATGGGATGTATATTTTTAGTTTGTTTTGAGGAATCTCTGTATCGATTTCACAGTGGCTGTAGTACGTTACATTCACAGCAGCGATGTACGAGGGTTCTTCCCCACCCTGCAGCAGCCTTACCAGCATTTGTTAGGATTTGCTTTCCTGATAGTTACCTTTCTTTCTGGAGTGAGACAGAATCTTGGGGTTGTGTTAATTTGCATCTCTCTAAGGGCCATAGACGTCGAACTTACCTTCGTGTATTTATTGGCCAATTTGTCGTTCTTCTGAGAAGTGTCTGTTCATTTCAACTGCCCATTTTTTTGATTGGGGGGTCCTAATTTTTGAATGCTTTATATACTCTAGATATGAGTCCTCTGTCCGAGGAGTAGCTGGCAAAATTCTTTTCCATTTTATAGGTTGTGTCTTCACTCTGTTGGTTGTTTCCTTTGCTGTGTAGAAGCTTTTTAATTGGATAAAATCCCATTTGTTGATTACTGATGTTATTTCTTGTGGGTCCAGGGCTCTGTTCAGAAAGTCCTTACGCACACCTATGTCTTTATCTTCAGTAGACTAAGTGCTTCTGTTTTGTTGGTAGTGGAGATCGAACTCAGGACCTTGCACTTGTGAGGCAAGTGGCGGCACCACTGAGCGAAATCCAGTCCCTGAGTGCTTCTATTTTGATATTTAGATCCTCTATCCATTTTGGTTCTAGTTAGTCCACGGTGAGAGCACTTCATTTGGCTGTAAAGCAAGAACAGAACTTTATACTCCTTTTCTTTTTGGTATCACGGATTGAACTCAGGACCTTACATTTGCGGGGCAGGTGGGTGCCACTGAGCTAAATCCCCAGCCAGAACTTTATATTTTTAAGCAAAATCCTCTTTACAAAAGAGCACATAGACTCGTATTTGTCACCCAACTTCAGGTGCCTTAGGGGCAAGGAGTAGTCTCAGAGTGGTCACAATCCGGCTGGCTGCTCCCCACCCCAGAGGTGGGCTGGGCAGGGCCTGAGAATGTACTTTTCTGAAGAGCGGGAGGCTGGCACCACTGGCCTGAGCACTGCTGTTTTAAAGGTACAGCCTGCTCGAACAGCCTCTTTAAAATTAATTTTTAGAAAATGGACAGTAACTGCATTCGTGACTAACAATGTCAATAATAGTAAAAATGCTGTTCTGCTTGAGGAAGCTGTAAGCGGTCAAACTTCTCCTTCATTTGTTAGTGGGCGACATCTCTGGTGGGGAGACTGTACACCCCAAGTGGGGTGGGCTGGGTCACACTCATAGACACGAAGACTAGGTGTCCCGTAGACCGAATTCCTGATATCATTTTTATTGTAATGGATGCCTGTCAGTTGAGTTGTGGGGTACGTGCCTGTCACCTCCAACTTTTCCATTTCTGTGTCTGAATCAGTTGCCTCCGGTACCCGCTGGCTGTCCTTTCTCCACCGTGTCTTCCCAGCCTCTGCTACCCACTCTTCCACTCTCTTCTACAAAATCAACCTTCTGTTTTGGTACTAGGGATTGACCCCAGGGCCTTTGCACTGAGTTATATCCCCAACTCTTTTTTTGTTTTGT